CTCTTGATTACTTCTTCAAATTCTTAATATTTGTTTGAATCCTTGTCTAGTTCCCCTGGTGATTGTTGACTCTCCCAGAAACCACTGTATATTTTGATAATTATATATTCTAGTTTATCTTCTTAATCAGTAATGTCAATATTCAGTGACTACATATTTAAGACACACCCTTTCAGAGGTCTATGTGGTATACCTCTCCATATTGAAATGAGACTTTAAATCAGTTTTGTAGATACTTTCATATTCATACAGATCATGGGAGTTGTAGCTAGATGATCTTTAAGGTCCCTTTCAACCCAAACCATTTTATGATTCTGTGGATTGATCACTAAGCTAAAAATTTACTGGTCACTAAGGCCTGGACAGTTACAATAAAATTACATTACTCACTATGGAGATAAAAATGGACTGGATATGGTACAGCAATATGTCTACAAAATACACATTCATATGATTACAGTCAAGATCTCCTGTTAGGATGTGTCAAAAGTAAGCTTTCTGACTTCTTCACTAAAATCCCTTTTTCGCTTGAAAAATTATAGTTTTTTTATGATATCGTGATCTTTTCCAGAAGGATCCAGCTCAGAACCCTCTGTCCAGGATAAACAGTTCACAGTTTAATTTACATCTTTATTACTCATTACATGACACTAGCAATTACTTATTGATCATTACTAAAAAAATTGCTCAAACAACAGAATTCTGAATTTATTTATATACTTTTTTCCTAAATTCATACCTAGATATTTGAAAGTATTCCTGAATCTTAAAAATCTTAATATTTATAAGGAAATTTTCTTCTGACTTTTAAAGTTTTTCGCAGAAGCAGTGAAATATGAATCCATTGATTCTGGATATTTGACGCCATAGTTTCCATATACATCTGAGTTTTCAGAGTTCTTACTAAATATTTTCTATTAATTGGATTATATTCTTTCAACATTATCACAGGAAAAAAAAATCCACAGACTGGTGATTTGGGTCATATACTGGACAGAGTTAAATATTAAAAAAATATATGTATATTCTAAGGTAATTAGTCTCATTATTTATATGAGTCTTTGTGGAAGCAAGAACCAACAGTAATTAAGAATATGCCAGACTGTGTTTAGAATAAATAGAAAGCAACTTTTCCAGGGTTGGATTGATGCCCCTGGAGAACAAGTTATAGATGAACTGAGGATCCAGGAAAGCAGTCCTGGGTTCTTGAGTGCCTTCCCCTTAACTGCAGGGCAGACATTTTTTTATGTCTACTTCATTTGATTGAACTCAGAAGAATATCTGAATAGCTGGGGCTTTTACTGCAGAAGGTCAATAAGGCTTTTTCTGAGGAGACCAAAGGTGTTACACTTGACAAGTCATGCTCTCCCTCTCGCTTGGGAGCTTTCAACACTAACAAATGTCATACCACATTACTTGGCTAAACGAGTTAAAACACTTCCTTAATTCTTCCCACTTCCTTAAAGTTTTTTTCCAATATGCAGTACCACAGACTTTCATTCCTAGCTACACAAAGCACAATTTCTGCACATTTTATTTGTATTTGTTTACAATTCTTTGATTTTTCTTTTTAACCTATTCCAACACAGATGTCTCTTAGGTTTTCTTTAACGCCTGACAGAAATGGGAGTCTGACTGAAAGCAAAGTGCCCTCTAGGCTCCAGTCAGATGAATCAGAAAGGATCTGCCAAAGTGAAATATTTTGAAGGACAGGCATAGATCTGTTCTTGAAGCCTCCCGTATCACAGCACTCTACAATCTCAGCTTTGTTACTGCCCTCCTTACTCCCTGATACGCCCACAAAAGTTGTCAGAACTCTTTTTCAGCTCTCACTAGACAAAAGATTTTGACCATCTACTTCAACTACATGCCTATGAGAAGAGTTCTTAAATTGAACCCATGGAAAAATTGCCATTCATTTGGAAGGATGCAAACTTCAAATATCAACTGAATATCTCAGCTAAACTAACAGTCCACTCTTTATTTACCAGTAAGGTAGGGGGAAAAAAAGCTATTACGTGTGCTTTGTATTCTCTGTTGCATACTAAATAATTCCAGGGAGGTATTCATGATCTACAAAGCAACAAGCAGTTTGGTCACAGCTATCTCTTGCACCATCTTTGACCACTTGCAAAAGTAGCAGACTGCACAGAAGCTGAAAAAGAGGCATGACTAGCATGAGCTTGGGAAAAAAACTGTATCTAGATCCAAAATTAAACCAGCTATTCAGATTTTCATCACAGTGTGCCGTACTGCCCTTGAACCCTCACAGGCTGGTTTCCCCTTGCCTCTGGCAGATGTGCCTGTCTGCTTTTTCCATAGCCAAAATGTTTGCAGATAGTTTCATTAAAACAAAAGTTTCCAGCAAGGAACAGAAAATTTAGCTCCTGAGACTGCCCTGCTGATTTTTCTACCCAAGCAAATGAGGAACAGAGGTTTTGGCCGTATTCTCATATATTATTACTTATTTATCTGCTTTATTTTTTCTGCATTGAATTATTTCAACTGTGAACAACTGCGACAACTTTCATTCAGATTGTTAAAGAAATTATAAAGCTGTGCAAATGAAAAAATAACTCTTGAGTAATGGAAGACTAACACTGGCGATTCCTAATTATTATGTTTGGATAATAAGTTGCTAATGCATTTTATATAAGCTGTATTCATAATTACAACTAATCTTACAAAAGCATTTACAAGACGTCTTTGATGGTCTTTTTTCCTTGAAATCATCATGATTTGTATTATATTCTTAAAAAAACCCACAACCTTTAACCAATGAATTATATATCTGTCTCATGCTTGATCACTCCTAACAGCTATAACTACAAAGGAAAAGCCCATTTATCATTTTAGACACTGGACTTTAAACTAACTTCGTTACGTTACTAGGAACTTTCCCAATAGTCTGAGAATTATTAAAAGTTAATGAGAATGTTTCAGAAAGTTTCCTAACTAATTAAGATTTGTTCAAAAGAACAAATTAATAATGTCTACAATTAAACCACAAGTATTGAATATAAAAGCTTTGAACAAAAACAATACCAATAAAAGAACAGAAAAATCCTTGATAATATTTAGACTATCATTTGTAGTCGAAAAAAGAAAAAACTTTCGTCTATGTTATTATACTGTTCCTTATTTCAATTTCTTATACATTTTTGCACATTCTCTTTATTTCCAAAATAAGTGAGAAACTAAATAAAACTTGAGACCAGCCTTAAGAGGTGTTGACCAACTATTGCTTGCATGAATAGGAATCCAGCCCTTCTCTAGCATTTCTCCATAGGATTCCTGAGTTATTTTTTTCTGTAGATTAATTGGAAACCTTTGTTTCATGATCAAAATACCAATCACTTCTGAAATATTAATTTTGCAATTACAGGGGATTTTAAAGGCGTGGATGTTTCCTGTTTTTACTGATCTAACAATAGCCGATGGTAAAACCGTTGGTGTTAAATAGTATCTGATATGAAATTGAAAATATTATAAAGAACCTCAGTTTGAATGGTTGGAGATAAAAGTCAATGTAAAATCAGCTATCCTTGACTTCTACTGCTCTTCTGGATTAGTTCAGAAGATATATATTGCACCTCCCCATGATCCCAAATCACATCCTTAATGTGCAGAGGGAACATGCCAACCTTCCTCCTTGCTCAGGTGTTCTAGGAGGGTACATGTAGCTACCTTAGGCAAAGTGCATTAGAGCTCCTCCAGACTTCTGAGGAATAAGAGCCTCTTGTAAAAATTTTCTCATGATTCTTTCATGTGTCTGTAAACACCACTATTATGAAAAAAATAAAGGGGGCAGAGGGAGGAAGAAGAGGAAGCAATCAATATTTATCATTATCATTAATATTATCATTGAGCAAGAGTTCCTGAATTATATTACTGTGAGATGATATCTGCAAAGTTTTAGTGGGTCGAAATTCTTCTGGGAACATGAGTTAATAGCATCACTTACAGTTGTGAAGGCAAGAGCAATTCTGAAGATTGCTTCAGTAATTCAGAGTGAGTAACAACAGAACCCCTCAAGTGCATTGCTGTTCATTAATAATAATGTCCATACAGCAGACAATTTCTGTTTAAAGAATGAGCTTTTGTAACTTGGTCAGCAGGATTATGTTTAAAGCGCTCCCCTGAAAACAAAGGGAGAGCAAGCTTCTCTCTCATGCATTGTATGGAAAGAATTTGCCAGCTTACGACTACCCTCACGAGACCATCCAAATCAATCATCTCCTGTTTTATCTCAGCCTCAGCCTAGGAAAAAAACCACATGAATTGCATTCTATAAACGGCAGAAACAACTGCACCATGAATCACCATTTCTGCAGAAGCCTCTCCCAGCAAGCGCCTCATCCTGGCTGCAAATGGCCCCTGACAAATCCCTACGGCTTCGTTTGTGGTCTCTGCTGCTGAGACCATTCCCTGCAGGAGCAGCTCAGGCTGAGAGGATGCAGCAGGCTTGGTGAGCTGTGCTGTGGAGCATGTTGCCTCCAAGGGATGGGGTCAGCAGTTTGTGTGTCCTCTGCACGCTGAGGGACTGACTCCTGAAGCAACTTATAGCAAGCAGTTGCAGAATGTCAAAAGTGAGTCTTCAGAGAGTGCAAAAAACTAACTTGAAAGAGCTTAACAACAAAAATCGTCTATAAATTCCATTTCACATTGGTTTTTAAGAAGCAATTGTATTAAGAAGTGGATACTTCTGACTAGCTGACCAGTAGGGTTTTTAAAACAGCTTCTGGTTGCTATAGATCAGTAGTTTCTATAAATATGGGTTTGTAATCAAGAAAAATTCTTGGAAATACCTCATAGCACTCGAGTTTCAGAACATGGCATTTTAAACAGGTAACAAAAACTTATTAAGTTCCTTTCTGCATCTTCCAAACAGTTTCTTTTCAAAATAATTGTACATATTGAAAGCATCCTGAAACAAATGCAACTGACACAAAGGTTTGAAACTGCATACATAAATATAATGAAAATTGTTTGCAACCTACCTTGGAATTGTGTAAATTTGATGGTTCCCATCCTCTCTCCATTTCTGAAAACAACTTCACCCTAAATAAAATAAATAAACACCTTAAAAGTTTTATAAATCTCTCAAAATGTAGTTTTTATTCACATATTAATTTTCCATTGACTATTAAAATTACCAAAGCAATGTTTATACTCTGAAGATAGCAGATTCAAACAGATTCAAAATAACTCAAGAACACCTCCTTAAAGCCTTCTACAGATTTTAAATGGCCTTAGAAACTTGGCCAGTGTTACCACCCACTTTTCATTTAAAGGAAATGGAAGCACAATAAAGCCAGTAACTTACAGAATTTCAGATGATGAGATAGATGCAAACAATTGATTTTCACTGTTTGCATTATGAAGGATGTGTAAAAAGTTTCAAAGATCACACAAGAAAATAGTTTTCCACTTCATTCATCGATCATATATTTCTCCAAAGGGCTCTAGAAACTATTTATCTTATATACTTATCCTACTAGATTGTGGATACCAGTAGCTCCCATGGCTTGGTTTGGTACTATACCAACATGTGTGTCCTAGTATTCATTTTAATTGTAATGTCTTTAAGTCAGTACTGCCATCTCTGGTGCTATACACTCTTATTTCTCAATATAATGGTCATGTAATGCTGAAACTTCCTCACTTATCCCTAGGAAATCACTCCCATCTTTTATCTCATCTTTCTGGATTACATTAAGAAAAGAGCTTGTTAAAATGCCTCCTTACTTCAGCTATTTCATAATTGAGTATGAAAGAAGAGGGTTTCACTCATTTACAGTAAGTATTTTTAATATTTTGAACCTGTAGAGAAGAGCTGAGAGCTGTCAAGATAGATTGCTGTTCCACTTCATCCCTGGTTTGGCTTATTAACACCATCTCCATAAATCTTTGTTTTGGCAGACATCAGAGTAAAAGAAACCAAATGGTAAACCTGTGAGGCTACAATATATTTCTCTGTGCCAGCCTGTCACTTTTTGGATAACCCTTTATGGTCATTAAAGGGATGCTCTGAAGGCCTCAAATACTGAAGTCAGGTCCCAGCAGGAACGGTACAACATTTTTGTAGTACAGCACACTCACCTCCCCCTCATTTTCTGCAAACCACAAAATACTATTTCCTTTTGATAAACAGTAGAAACCTTAAACAAACATAAGCCACATCGTGCTAAGTTTTAAGAATCAAAAGCCCCAATCTCCTGGCTATTTTATAAAAAATAAGAGAATTACGTTTGAAGCAAAGGAAGTGATATAAATAGACAATAAATACTGAATTTAATTTTATGAATTACAGCAATGCTAATAAGAAATAAGCCAATCAGTGTTTCAGAAACCTGTCTTAAGGAATTATGTGCCTAAATTATGGCATGAGCAGTGAGCTATAATCTGATGTTCTACAGCTCACATCAAGCCATTTCTTTGCTACTGAGATAATATACCATGAGATTTAGCTGGAGAGTTTTCTTCTTTACACTTGAGATTCATAAATTACTAAATCTCTTTTTTTATTTAAAGTTGCGGATGTTTGAATAATAGATATTCCTGATATACATATTAAGATGTGACATTTCAAAAGCCAGTCAGCACTATTTCATCCTTTTTTTACTTCACCACACACTCCAGCACACATGCCAGTACAAACTGCAGTTTATGGTGTGACCCCCCATAAAAGCTAGATCTTATGAAATCCACATGAATATAGCAATACACAAAATCCTCTTTTACCTTCCATTGTGTTTTGGTGATGTTACATAGGCATATTTAGATATTGATTAGCAAAAGGACCAGTGATTGTATAGAATTAAAGAAAATAATGGAAGTAATGTTAATACCAACTTCTTCAGAACATGATCATCATATTAAAAAAATATCTCTTGATCAAGCAAGAAATTCATATCATCACTTCAAGAGATGTAAAATAAAACCTCAGTCCTGAACAAGCATTTAAATCAACTGCACAAGTAAATAACTTGCACTTTGAACAAACCCCACATTTTACTATATATTAAATAGTTAATTAGCAAAGCTTCCCTCTTCCATTACACACAGGTCATCCCAATGGAGACCAACAGAAACCACACTGGTGTCTTGGAGCCTATTTAATTTTCATCAATCTACCATCTACATTTTTTCTTTCTTTACTAGCTGTAAAAGTGAATGCCAGAGTAAATACCAATCTGCCCAGCTGATCTGCCCAACTTTGAGCTATGGACAGGCATCTTCACACTAGCAATGACCCTGGAAAAGTTGATGGGAAGGAAATAGGAAGTTTGTGGCTTGGAGTCCAACAGACGGAGACATGAACAGACGGTGGAAAAGGAGCTGGATGAGCTCAGTCTGGCACAATCTGGCCCCCTGGATATTGCTGCTGGTGTGTACAGCCACCACGGCACACAGAATTTCAATTCTTTTGGCCCAAATACATCCCTGTATTTGGGATTCATTGCAGCTGCATAACTCATCATACAACCTTACACAGGGTTACTTTATTTGGTTTTCCTAATTGTACTGCCACCCCTAAGTGTAAACAATACTAGTCTCACATTACAAGTTAGTGACTCGAACCACAGAAATAGAGAAGCTTATGTTGTAGATTTTTTAGACTTTCGTTTGTTTGTGTTTGTTTTTCTGCTTTTGGTACATCTCTGACCTGGTTCCCTTTTGTTTGTCTCTTTTTTTTTCTTCCCTCTAAAAGCTTGAGTGTCCTTTACAAATGATGAAAATCAGATTAGACCAAACATTTCGACAGCATCAATCTCACACTTGCCATATACAAGGACATCATCTCCATGTTTCTTCTGAGTACCATCATCTTTTTTGTGCTCTGTTTTACAAACCTAATATTGATTTGTGTACTTTGTTAAACAGAGTAACTGTTTCATCCCCTTAATAAAAAGACATTTTCTATCCTCCTTGGATGTAGAGTCTTTCCCTTTTATCTTCAGTCATTAGTCCTTTATTTGTGGTCAGAATAAGAAGTCCACATGGTGCATTCACACTCACAAATTATTAGCCAACATTAGATTTATTTCAGACACATGGGACTTCCCCTGTCTTTACAGCAGTCAGTTGTCTCTACTTGGAAGGAGCTGTATATTATGCTTCTATATTTTTTTCCTGGTGGTTAAAAAGTAGGTATCTCTGCTATATTATGAACATGACATTAAGCTCTTTTTGAGCTACTGAGCACTAGCATTTATTAAAATTTTCTTTGCATTATCTTTGACAGTATTATTATTCAACTCTGGATAGAGGCCCATGCCAAAGTTAGAATTCTTTCATTTTTCATACACTGAAATCCACAGCGGGCACATTTTTTCATTAATATCTTTAGTTTTCTTCACTGTCTTCAATCAAACCAGAGTTCATAAGTTTCTTAATTGCTCTCTCAGTCAGGGCCAGGTCTGCACTTTGACCACCATTTAATTTTCTGTGTATTTTCTTCTGCAAAGTATCTCAAATTTAGTAAACAGAAAAATAAGTGCATAGCATTTACTCCATGATTTTCAGTACTATCCTTACAAGAAATATCTGCTTTAGAACAAGTTTACTTCCTCCTTCAGCAGTCTTCCACCACATGGCACCAAACAACTATTGATTCAACTGTTTATCATATACTCAGCCTATACTTGTTATCTTATTGCTGGTTTCAAATGTCATAAATATAAATTCAAGCTAAATTAATAATACAAATACCCCTTCATCAGAGTAAAGACCATGGGAACGTTGACAGAAATACCACAGCTGGATGCAAGAGAGTTAAATACCACAGGTCTTCTATGCCCCACGTGTTTTCTGATGGGCCAATACATTTCAGGACGCTGCTTCAGTTTCACTTCACTGCCTAGAAATCTGGGCTACTCTGCCCTCTAGACAAGTCATCTCCTCATAAAATAGTATTTAGAGTCTGTGGCTTTCCATGAAACACCTGAGACTACATAGTCAAACCTGCTCCAAAAGTGACCATTGGCATTTTCCCAAAAATAAATTAACTCATTCACTTTGGGGGTACTTGAGTGAGATATTTGATATCAAGTAAACAATATAAATAAATGGATGCAGAAATACCTGAAAAGCAGTAAGAAAACTATGACAACTGAAATAATGTTTTACATAATTTTATATATTCTTTATATATTTATATAATATATAAAATTAAATTTGTCTGTTTAAGTTCTGTGACATCTGCTGAAATCAAGGTGTACTTCTGAACTTGTAGTTTCCTTATTGGACTATGTCCAATAAAAGTACAAGCCAAGGAGGTTGAAACATCCCAGGATAAGAAACCTAAGAGTTTGCTATCACCCAGAGGGCAGCTTAACTGGCCTCTCTCATTGCTCCTAGCTGTACGGCTCTACACCTACCTGGTGGTAGCTCAGCATTCATCAAGCCCCTGTGTGAGCTGTAGTGACCTACTAAACCAGCAAAATGCATTCAGTGGGGTTTTTGTTGTTGTTGATTTTTGCAGTTTTTTTATTGCTTTGGCATGTGGGCAGTATGTTGCTTCTGAATTACTGAACCAGAGCCAGCACAAAGGAGCCCTGGAAGGATGCAGGTACTAGCAGAAGGAGGTAGGAGGAAGGGAGCAACTGTCTGTTAGCCCCAGATCCTTTCAGAAGATTTTCTATGTTTTCATGCAATCCACACAGCCTGCTACTCACATGTTGCACTCAATTTACTCATTCAGGACTCCTCAGCTACTGACACAGCTTCCCTGACACATACAAAGCAGCAAGCTGGGATTCTGTGTCTCTTGGTTCTGCAGCTTGTGGGCAGTGAAGAGCTACACACTGGAATTCATAGCCTCTTCCACCCTCCAAACTTCATGTCCAAGACCGTGGTGTTTGTAGAGAAAAGGAATATCATTTATTCTACCTAATAGGCTTTTAGCTCTGCAAGTATAACCTCACTTCTAAAACGAAACAGCAAGCTTCCAGCTGAGGGCAGCTTGTGCACAACTCTTCTGGTTTCAACCTAGTTACATCACTCATTCAGCTGCAGACAAAGAGCTAAGCACAGGAGATGTAAGCAGAGTACAAGAG